CTCCCATTTTACAGATGTATTAGGCTATATGCAGTGTATGCAGGACAAGAGGTAAGTGTGTATTGTGAGTTGTAAAACCACTCAGCAAAGTGTAGCAAAGCACAGAGAAATCATGGTAAACAGTGCATATTTCAGATATACACAATCTTGTAAAGCCATGCAAATTTACAGTAGGAAGTATTTCACAAGGTGCATACTGTTCAGCTTTTATACAATAAATACTCATAGGAAGTATTTAGGTCCTTCTAGTGTCTTCTGATGTCACATATACTCATTAAATATAATAGTCATGCATATGTCATTCATTTATTTCCCTTCAGGATCAATAAAGTCTTATTTATCTATCTCAACCCAATTCAAACTGCCGAAACTCAGAAGAGGGTTAAAGATCTCTTGCATTGCCATGTGTTAGTGGCACACTTTCCAAAGACAGCATGGCTCTTGTCTGAAGACTGGTACTGTAATAAAAAGGCTCAGATTAATACAGAAGATTTACAACTGGAACTCAGTCAAAGGGGCCCCTCCGATCTGCTTGCCCAAAGAGGCATTTAAGGCATGCACGCAGGAGTACTGCTCAACACATCCTGCATGTTAGACATCAAGTCCAGCTACATGAGCATAAAGATGATTACATTTCTCTCTACATGCGTCAGAAATGGCCTGTTCTGCAGTGACCCAGATCATTACAGACTGGAGCTCCAGGGGCATTGCGTGGAGCAACCGAAATGAAAGGAGGAAAAAAGAAAAACTCACTGCCAGGGTTGAAACGATAAACTGTGGAGCTATTCCTCCTGCAATCCTAAGCCCCCAGCCTACAGCCCCCAGCCTAGTATTAATTTTCCTCAGGAGCCCCTCAGAACTGAATTTCGCATGCTCGTGTTTCATCCCAGATGCCTTTCAACCTTCAGTACTTTTGGTTTTGAAGGCTATCAAAGTCCCTTATGGAGTCTTATGCTCTGCAGTCTCTGCTGCACGTATCACATACTGAGGGCACGGGGAAAAATAAAGGACTTGTGCACATGGCTAGTCCCATGCTTTATCTTTAGTCGCTCCTAATCCTGATCAAACTGTATCATGCCTGTGACTCCGACGTGCTGAGGACCCAGCCTGTGGCCTATGTCCCCTGAGTGCAGCATTGGAAAGCCACGTAAGAGAGTTTAGCAGCCCTTGGTGCTGCACGAAATTACCTCAAAACGCCACACAGTAGTTTCATGCACCAGATCCCACTCCTCCCAGCGCTACGGCTTCTGCACACCAGCGTTTTGAGAAAGTGAGCCCAGAGCATAGACAGACCACTCCAGTGGGCACCGCTCGCCAGTGCAAAGTGGGTGGCGGGCTGGCCGCTGAGGTCCACATGCCTGACCAGCAGCCCGACAGCTGGGCCGGCTCTTGCCTTGGGCGGGGTTGTCAGTGAGGTCAACCGCATTTCACAGCTGACTGACAAACTTCGTCTCTGCATCTGTGTTAACAACAGCAACCTGGGGCTTCACAGGGAGTCTGCTAGCGCTATGATGTGCATGTCTTAGTATATCCCTGGGCACTATCGCTAACGTGGAAGGTATATGTTTTATATACCTTTATATACCTTATACCCCAGCTTTCATTCAATAGACATATCATAAAGCTTTTACGTGATTAGTTAAATAAAGACGTATATTGGGGGCAAAACTTCATCAGGTGGCAGGAAAAGGTTATTTAAACTTCTACTCTCGCCCTGTTATTCTGGTCCCTGGGGCTGCATCTGAAGTTGTCGCACTGGTGTGTGATTTCATTTTGTTGGTCTACGTCTCTGTACCATGGGGGAGGTCAAAGAAATGCAAAACTATTCATGCTTGCTTATTCTGTCCTTACGAAGAGCGGTGTGGAGGAATCGATGTGGTTTATTGATTAACTGAAATGTACATCTCTGCAGAGATTGTTTCATTTCGTCTTCACCAGAGTCACATGCAGGGCTTGGTACAATACCTCCAGGTAATTCTGTTACAGTGCAGCTGAAGCTAGTTGCTCGGTGACATTTATTTTTTGCAACCCCCATGCATTTTCCTACCGCAACGTTGTCTGAACTGTGATGTACACATACTGTGCTGGATTTGAGTCCTTCAGCTGTAGTGCGTGATGCAATGCTTCTATAATTTATGCTATTCTTTTTGCATGCATAATATTCCCACTTGATTTAGTGTTTGCCAGAATAAATTCACCCTGAAGCCCAGAGAAGGGAAGGGGAGGGGGGAGGAGAGGGAGGGTGATGATTGTGATGGAAATCCCAACTTTTCGTTTAGCTGCTACAGATTTGAAAAATTGCACCCCAGCTGGGAATAACCTGCAGCAGTACAAGGTGTATACTAGACTAGAGAGAACAAGAAAGCAAGGCTAGGATGATGGAATGATTTAAAAAGTGTCAGTCATCCTTCCTGTTTGTTCATAAATTTATAATCTGTTTAATTTTCCTTCCAGAGATTTGAAACCTCTACGGAAGAACATAAGGCTACAAGGAAAAGGAGGTCATTTAGCCCACTGAGCTCGTTAAGTAACTGATTGATCTGAGGCTCTCATCCAGCCATTTCCTGGAAGAAGCCAGGGTATTGCTTTTGACAACATGGCTAGGTAGCTTGCTCCATACCCCCACATGCCTTTGGGTAAATCAGTGCTCTACTTACTCTGATTATTTTTGCAAACAACCAATCTTGTCACCCCATCTTGCCACCACCTGCGTTCACGTTGTGCGAGCCCCACAGAGCCCACTGCAGAGTGAGCATTGAGTCCAGTACTGAAACAGCTCTCACACTATACCAATGCACGCTCACAAGCATCCAGCATGCCACAGGAGGTCCAGTGGCACAGCAGACTGGAGTTGCTGCTCAATGCTCAGTCCTGCTGGCACTGCCAGGTGGGCAGTCAAAGTTACCTTTAGCTCATAACAGAGCCTAATTGGGGGCTCCAATTGTGTTGCAAACATTAGCTGCTTCAGCCAAGCAAGAGAAACACTGAATTATTACACTCATGGGGTGTGAAGCAAGGTAGCAGCGTGGTAGCAGCAGGGGTCAGGGCATCTGGGCTTGTAACTGGAAGGTTGTAGGTTCAAATCCCAGGTGAGATGCTGCTTCTGCTGGACCCTTTGAGCAAAGGCAGCCAAATTGCTCCAGGAAGACACCCAGCGGTGCAAATGGAAGTTGCTTTGGATAAAGGTGTCGGACAAATGAGTAAAAGAGAAGGAAAAACAGCATTGCTTGAGCAAAGGATGCCTGGGTATGGAAACTGTGGTCGGAGCTGTGACAGAAAGCAGATAGTGAACATGCACACATTAAATATATTGGGCATACGGCGGAGGATGGGGAAGACAGTTTGAGTGACCTAAATACAGCCCATTTAGCACCGTTCTGCAGTCTGCAGCTGATCAATCAGTGCATTCAATTGTAGAGTGCTGTACATAACAGATTAATAAACAAGACAGGGCAATCCAGGATCCCATGTTTTAATTAGTGCAATCCACTGGTGCACTGGAGGCAGAGAGCTGCTCGGTAGCTCCAGAAGCTCCACACACCCACTTCCAGCACGGCTGAGAACGTTATTAAAATGAATCAATCATGGTCAATTTGAGCGCAAAGGAAATCTGAAAGACATGCCTCTTAAAAGTGATTTGCTAATCTGATGTTCTTTTATCTCTACCCCGGAGCGTTCCGCTTCACAACCTCATTTGCTGACTCCCTGGCTTCTTCTTCGTTCATTTTCCTTTTTCCCAGTGAAAATGTGACAACGCTCTTGGTGATTGGATTGTATGTCCCCCCAGTAAACACTAGTTGCTGTGTGTAACCTGTTCTATTAGTTAGACCTGTGATAAGAAGGTTGCTTCTCCAACATGTAAGAGAGATTAGTTTTGACATTCCAATAAAAGATTGACAGACCACTAGAAGATTGTATTGGACCACCAGTTAACTCCATAGGTCACTGGTGCCCAGTCCTGGTCCTGGAGGGCTGGTTAGTGTGTCTCCAGGTTTTCCATGTCCCCTTAAAGCAGTCTGCACTGAAAACCTTGAGATAAGATTCCTCCAGGATCAGAATTGGGGATCCCTGGCCTAGCTCATCATTTCAGGCATTTTTCTAAGAAATTGCAATAGATGCACGTGCTAACAGAAGGAAGCTTGTAGTTTTGGGGAAAAATTGTCAAGGAAACCAAGGGTTTCTTGGCTGACATAGCTAAACCCAGGAAATAATACTATTTGATTTAGATTTATCTGCAATGTGAATCGCATGTTAAAATATGTAAATGTGGTCCAACCACAGCAATCATAATTCAGATTCAGCCTGTTTTTCCCACGCATGCAGTCTGCAGAATTGTAGAACTGCACAATGAACCCTTAATCCATGTCTTCCCATGAAGAGACAACCTTAATTACCCCGTTCATCTTTTAGAGGCTGTGACTGTTCTTCCACACTTTGCTGACAGCGGTTTTCATCTTGCTGACATAAAAGTATCGTACAAAAGGACACATAATATACCGCCAGAGAGCAATAAGCTTCAATGCTGTAGAACACTGTATATGTATACCAGCATGAACAGATGAATGAAAGAAGCATTTTATATGGATAGCTGTACTGTATACATGGAATGTCGTTTAAAAAACGAAGCACAGAATCACTCCGTGATTTTTCTGATGTGGTTATGAAGGCAGCCAGGGAATTTCTTGCATTCAGCTACAGGTTTCAGCAGGTGGCACGGTGGCTCAGTGATCTGCATTGCTGCCTCGCTGCCCAGGGTTTAAGTCCAGACCTGGGGTGCTGTCTGTGTGGAGTTTGCATGTTCTACCTGTGGGTTTCCTCCAGGTGCTCTGGTTTCACAGTCCCAGAACATGGTAGGTTAGGTTGGTAGGTTAATTGGGAAAACTGGTAGGTTAATTGGGAAAACATACGGGTAAGCTGGGAAAACTGGTCCTGGAGTGAGTGTGTGTGTTCATGCCTGTGTCTGCCCTGTGATGGACTGGTGTCCCATCCAGGATGTACCCTGCCCTGCTCCTGTTGCTTGCCGAGATAAGTTGCGGCTCCCCTGAAACCCTGTATCGGATAAAGCAGTTGGAAAATGGATGGATGGATGATCTTCAAACTACCTGATTGCCCGAATCACCTGCTTCATTGAACAGTACTGAGCAATTCAGAAACTGCCCCTTTAGGAGTGATCTGGAAAAGCTGCTGGACCTGGGTGGGGCTCCCCTGGAATGTGTTGATAGCAGCGCCCCCTCCTCCCCACAGACCTGCAAGGACAAACGACCCCAGATCACTGTCAGAGCCTCGGAAGAGGAGCCCAGCTGCACACGTAGGTATTGCTGCCTACCTTGGTTCACCTGTGGCTTAATTGTAAAATCCTTTAGGATACCTGAGAGTAATGAGGCAGGCTGTACAACTGTGAAGCCGTGCAAAACGAAAATAATACTTCTGAAAACTCTGTCCAAATGAGCTCTCAGACAGATCCAAGGTACTTTGGATTTCCAAACTCCAGGTGCCTGTTTTCCTGACAGTTTAAATTCAATCATGGAAACTTCAAATGTCAGATTAAATTGTTCTGGAGTGAGAAAGCTGAGTTTTGTAAACCTTAGACGGGGAGTCGTTATTGAGTGACAGTAGCAGAGCTGTGCTGTTTTTAGAAACACACCTGAGAGCAGTTTCTGCAGGGGAGTAAAAACTCAACTATCGTTATTGCTTCACAAGCTATTAGCAATCACCTGTCTGTCTGAAGCATTTATCCAGAGAGAATTACCTTGATACCGTTGGGTGTTTTCCTGGAGCAATCTGAGTGAAGCATTTTGCTCAAGGGAACCACAGCCACAGCAGCCATATCGCAGCAGCCATATCACCCTGCCGCTCCCAGCTCCCAGCTGGCAGCCCACTGAAGCCCAGCAGGTGTGAGCCTGGTCAGTACCTGGATGGGAGACTCCTGGGAAAAACTAAGGTTGCTGCTGGAAGAGGTGTAAGTGGGGCCAGCAGGGGGCGCTCATCCTGTGGTCTATGTGGATCCTAATCCCCCAGTATAGTGACATTCTGCTGTAAACAGGCGCCGTCCTTCGGATGAGACATACAACCGAGGTCCTGACTCTCCGTGGTCATTAAAAAATCCCAGGGCGTTTCTCAAAAAGAGTAGGGGTGTTACTTGGGCATCCTGGACAAATTTTCCCTTGGCTTTTACCAGTCATGGCCTCATAATAATCCCCATCTCTGATCTGGCTTCATCACTCTGCTCTCCTCCCCACTGAGAGCTGGTGTGTGGGGAGAGTACTGGTGCATCATCCAGGTGGGGCTGCACACTGGTGGTGCTGGAAGGGATCTCCACCACTACTGTAATGTGGAGTGGAGTGACCAAAAAAACACTGTATAAGTGTAAGTGATTATTACTTATTAATATTATTATTATTGAGTTTCACACTCTGAGGGAGCAGGCTAAGCTGACAAAGGGAAAGACTAGCAGGGTACTTGTTCTACAGTGTGTCATCAGTTCCAGCGGTCATGGCAATACCTTGTCGAATTTGGTTTTGAAAAGAAGTGAGGTGATCTCACAATGCTTGCAGCAATATCTCCCAGAAGTTTGACGTTTGTGGAACAATATTGGGGAGATCTTCGGCTAGCAGTGAATCGATAAGGACTGAAGAAATGTATCGATAGGCAGTATGTACTATCTGTATAGGTAAGCAATTTCTATATCTAGGCTACTGTGGCCAGAGCTCATTCTGGCCTCTGTGGAGTGAGTGGACTAGAGAGCATGTGACTCCCTTCCCCCCTGAATGAGACACCAGTCCATCTCGGGGATCCCTCCCAACACTGCAGGTCCCCACTCATACAGCTGGGTGCACTGGAGCAACTGGGGTACAACAACTGGTCTGCAGGGGAGACTCGGACAACCTGTCAGCGATGAGACCAGAGACTTAGTCACGTATGTAAGTACTGGGCACTTATTAAATAGGCTGCATTACAAAATATTGTCGCATCAATAGTACTAGTAATATAGAAAATACAATGTATTTCGACTGAAAAAGGAGCATTGAGTGTTGTGCTTAAGGTTTAAATACTGTATAAAAAATGTTTCAATTTGAGTCATTTGAGCACTGCTGGGAGCCCGAAAGTTGTTTTCAGTAGTTTGACCTCCTCCAAAACCTATTATGCCGTTCAACAATTTAATACAACAATATTAAATTAGTTATTAAAGACCTCCAGGTGGTGGTACACACACACACTCACAGTAGCAAATGAAAACCTGGTTGGCTCTTTCAATGCTGCCACCAAATCCCTCGTCTTTGACCTCATGTGTTATTGGGCTCAGAGGGGGACATTTGAAAAAAAAAAAGATCCCAGGTTAGGAAAAGAACTGAGAGAAAAAGAACAAACACGAATATTAAAATTGCAGCCGCCTCTTAATGAGTGTGTGGATTTGAACGTGAATTTAAAGTTATTGAGTCAGACACCTGTGAAGGGTGGAACAGACGAATGCCTCATAAAATTGAACTTCAAAGGATTAAAATATAAAATGCAGATTGTGGCTCAGAATAGGTTTGCATAATAATGGCGTGAAAGTGATTTGACTTACAAATGATCTCCCGACTACACTTTTCACAGGAGTTTGTTCCAGCATACATAAGGGGAAAAAGAAAAGTCTTAATTCACATTGTTCTCATGGTGTCCCACTACACAGGGCAGGGGAGGAGCAGAGTTAAAAAACAGGCACGGTCAACTGACTCCTTTTTCTTTCAAAGACCCCAAGCAGGATCCGGAACAGAACCCCACAGAGACAGAGTCGAACCCCGAACCCTGCGGCTGAGCCCTGACCTCAGTTCTGCTTCAGTATGCAACAGAACTTTTTTGTATGCATTCACTGATTTAATATTACACTTCTTTTTCAGAGTCAGCTGAAAAAAGACAAGTTAAAATGTCATTTACCAGCACCACTGATATACAACTACACCTACTCCTTCACAACCTAAATTCTTACATCCCCAGCTACAGTACTAACCTGTGACCTCGTGCTTTTCAACAGATAGGTGGACATGACAGCTGACCAGAGCCTTTTGTTAATATGGTAGCGGGCTTGACTGCAGCCTGGCCTCCATTCCTAGTGCAGAATGTCATGTTCTCTAGGCATGTTTCGGTCAGATAGATATGTCTGATGCAGGGGCCTTTCTGACTAGTCACGGACTGACAAGCTCTGTCAATGACAGATATCATTCCATTTGTATATCTTCAGGGACCTAGGTCTGGGTCTTAGTCTTCTAAACATTTGTGTGTGTGTGGGGAACGCAGTCACTGCAGGAGGTTCTTGATTGTTGATTGTTATCTGTTAACGAGGGTCTGTGTACTGCGACTTGGGGGAGGGGCACCTCTCTCTGTAGGCTTGCTTCGCTGTGCTGTTGAATAATGAGACACAGTTTAGTGCAGCTGTGTTTGGATCAGAGCCAGGCTAGTCATGTGTTGCATCCTTACGCTGTTCAGCCTCCTGTTTGCAAGCATCTCCTTTTGTCAGAGGGCTTCCAAAAGCAATGAATGAACAGCAGCCCTGTGCTCCATGCTGTGCCAACAAAAGGCCAGCAGCCATATCA